CTTTGGGTCATGACCGAAAGGGCAAGATCCTGGATACAGGCGGCCAAAATGAGCTTTCTCCACAGGGTGGCCGGGCGCACCCTTAGAGATAGGGTGAGGAGCTCGGTCACCTGGGAGGAGCTCAGAGTAGAACCGCTGCTCCTCCACATCGAGAGGAGCCAGCTGAGGTGGCTCGGGCATCTGTTTCGGATGCCTCCTGGGCGCCTTCCTCGGGAGGTGTTCCGGGCATGTCCCACCGGGAGGAGGCCCCGGGGAAGACCCAGGACACGCTGGAGGGACTATGTCTCTCGGCTGGCCTGGGAACGCCGCGGCATTCCCCCGGAGGAGCTGGAGGAAGTGTCTGGAGAGAGGGAAGTCTGGGCATCTTTGCTTAGACTGCTGCCCCTGCGACCCGGTCCTGGATAAGCGGAAGAAAATGGATGGATGGATGGAGTTGTCTACAACAGCACTCAAAGAGGCTTGTTACAGAGACTCAAAGAATAAGGAAGGTTCAATTCAATATAAGGCACAGGGAAACATCACGCAAAGGAGTGTACAAAAAACACTGAGAGGTTCACATTAGATACTTTCAAGCACTGTTAATGTTACAGTTGCTTGTGCAGCAAACAGAGATACCTCAGGCATTCAGTGTGTCAGCAGAAAACAGGGTTCACATGTTCAATATTGTTTAAAGGGAGCAGGTATAAAGTGAAGGGAATTGGACCTAGCACAGAGCTTTGTGGAATGCCATGACTAACTTCAGTCTGTGTAGATGATTCATAGCATGAACAAATTGGAATCTATCTAATAAATAAGATTCAAACCAACTTAGTGCAGTCCTCGACCCCACCGGCGGAATCAAGAGAGACACCATGTATGACATAATGTATGCTGGGGCCCCGTCAATGAGTCGTGGTGGAGGTGGAGGCTTGAAGGCTGGAGGGCAGGTTTGATGCTGGATACATGAGAGGTGGGATGTTCCTTAAGAGACTGGGGAAGCTTGAGTTGTACTGCTATAGGATTCACCACCTTGGAGATAGGGAACGACCCAACAAAGTGAGGTGCTAGCTCCCTGCGTTTGATTTTGAGGAGCAGGTCCTTGGTAGACAACCATACCTTCTTTCCAACTTGGTAAGATGGAACTCTGGAATGACATTTGTTGGCACTGTGGACGTAAAGTTGTGTAGACTGTAGTCAGGTAGTCCTGGCCTGGGCCCTGGTGCGGCAGCAACGTCTGATGAGAGCTTGGACTAGGGGTACACATATCTCCTCTTCCTGGGCAGGGAATATATGGGGCTGTGAATGGTGAACATACTAGACCAAGGTAAGTTGCTTGGCCCAGGAGGATGGATCCTTGGAAACACCACATTGTTGCTTTTAACTCCTGATTTATCCTCTCAGTTTGACCACTGGACTGGGGGTGAAATGTTGACGAGAGACTAGCTTTTGGCCCTAGGAGGTGACAGAACTCCTTCCAGAAATGTGACATAAAATGTGGGCCCCTGTCTGAGACTATATCAACCGGTAGGCTGTGGATTCTTAACACCCCCCATATCATGATTTTCACTGTTTCCTTAGTTGAGAGTAACATTTATAGTAGAATAAAGTGTACCAGCTTGGAAAAGCGGTCCACTACACTTGACAGTGTTACCTTCAGAGAGGGAAAGACCTCTCAGTGACAAAGTCCACTGAGAGGTGGGACCAGGGACTGTGGGGAATGGGAAGTGGCCAGCCAAGGCTTTGTGTCCAGCCTTTTTCTGGGCACAGACTGGACATGTGAATACGCAGGCCCTCACATCTTCGGCCAACCAGTGCTTGGGTCCTGGGTGGCAGGCAAGGCGGGATGAGTGTCCCCAGTCTAGTACCTGTGACTGAAGGGGAGCAGGCACAAACAAACAACCAACCAACTGGAACATTAGTAGGACCTGGCCCTGTGGTGTTAGCTTTACTATGACCATGTGTACTTAAGGACAATTAACAAGTCAGGTGGGGGCTGCATAACTTTGTGTCAGGGTGATGCTTGGAAGGACTCCCCAGAAAGTTGGCAGGGATTGTATGTGTTCCATCTGTTGTTGAGCTGTTTCCCCTGTGTGTGCTGAATAAAAAGAGTGGCTCCTTGGCAGGAAGGCGCTACAAAAGGCAGTTTGGTGTCTGGCTTCTTCTTCTCTCCAGCCGACGTGACAATATGAACTAATGATATATGAAGCTCACATACTGTAGGGACTATATAAAAATAATTTTATACGGTCTATTTTTCTAAACAGCTTCTCCTATATCCCAGCTTTATGGTTTACCTCGAATGCATCATAAGACGTGTCTCATTTCCCAGCATCCTGTGCATTTCCGGCTTACCACCGATACGGAACGAAAACAAACTGCGATAGTATAACTTCGCCGTTGAGTTGCGGTCAATGACAGCATTATTAATTTTTACCGGAGTATTTCACCGACCGCTTATTTAAATGCAATTTCTTTGGACTTGAGGTGTGCGGCAGTTATAGAAAATTACAATGCAGTTCTCTCCCACAAACGGAGATTTCACTTTCGTCTCTTCGACAGAGGCTGAAGGTATGCTAATGCTAGGAGGCCTTGAGCTAACGTTAACCACCTAGCTTTACCTGTTTACGTGCCTTGTTTTAGCTGTCAAAAATTAGCAACATCACTTACATTTGAATACAACCAGTCTCAAAAGTAGGCTTAGGCGGGGGTGCATACTGTGCTATTAGCTAGTGTTACTGTATGTTCCATTATTAAACGTGCAAGCCATCACTAGTTCTGCTACAAATGTCGGTAGAAAATCCGTGTTTATGTTGGATAACGTAGCCAAGAAACGCCACTGAAAAACTGGTGGGTTTATGTTATCTTGCTTAATGTCCAAGTTGAGAGGCCATTAAAATAAGACACCAAAAGCTACTCTTCAAATTAACTCACTTAGACCTGTGACAATAGTAGGCTTGACTAAAATACAGCATACAGTCTGATTTACACTGGTCACTCACAAACTTTCAGTTTCCTCAAAAAATAAAATACTGTGGCCTAAATTATGTAGACTGAGGGAATTATTAACGGTACCTTATTAATCCTAAAGGGAAAATTCAGTACTGACGTACAAATGAGGTAGGTGAGAAACATAAAAAAAAACTGATACTGCTATATAACATTCACTCTAATATGCAAAGAATGTGTGCTATATAGTGTTAGTAATACTGTGATATTTACATAAGTGCAAATGAAGTATTTATGACTGGGCTGTACAGTGAGGTGCATATTTATCCTTCACTATTAAGCAGAATTAACGATACACTGGATATATGTAGCCTATATTATGAATTGTACACTGTACACACAGATGGTTATCTTGAAGTGCAAAAGGAAAACAGACAGAATTTAACAGATTACAGCAGATGACTCACAAACATGTAAGATGATGAATGAATGTATAAGCAAACATGTTCTCCACAGAACTCAGTGGTAGCATCAGTGCCCCGGACATTAAACTAAACATGGGCAGTGACAGCGGGAAAGATCCGTACGCCACCACTTTCCTGAGGCAGCGTGGCTATGGCTGGCTGCTGGAGGTGGAGGAGGATGACAGTGAAGAAAACAAACCTCTTCTGTGAGTACATGTTGTATCTTTCATTCATTCATTCATTCATCTTCTACCGCTTAATCCCTGAACGGGGTCACGGGGGGGCTGGAGCCAATCCCGGCCGGCAATCGGGCGAAGGCAGGGTACACCCTGGACAGGTCGCCATTCCATCGCAGGGCTAACACATAGACGAACAACCACACACGCACTCCTATGGGCAGTTTAGAGACACCAATCAACCTAAGCTGCATGTCTTTGGACTGTGGGAGAAAGCCGGAGTACCCGGAGAGAACCCACGCAAGCACGGGGAGAACATGCAAACTCCACACAGAAAGGTCCCGGGTGGGGCCCGAACCCAGAACCTTCTCGCTGTGAGGCAACAGTGCTAACTAACCACTGCGCCACCATGCTGCCCTATGTTGTATCTTGATTTTTTTTAAAAACATTTTAATATGATCTTTTTTCTGTTTAAGTATTTCATCAGGATAGTTTAAATAAACACTGGAAGACAGAGAAAGTGGTATCCTGTTCTCCATTGCTAGGCTTTGTTTGTTTTTTTTACTCCTCCCAAGAAGACTTAAGAAAGACTCCATTTTCAGATCTTGCTGCAATGAAATTATTGCTAAAAGGTCAGTGCTGAATGTAAGGACATTCCCTCAGTGGAACAGTTCAGCCAGTCATGTGTCACTATGAGCTGATACTGTTGAAGGCAGGACCTGGCCCCACTCAGCCCAGCAGGGCCGAGTGAGCCTGAGTCAGCATGATTACCACCCGCTGTGAGAAACAGAGGCCAACCTTTGCCCACTCGTCTCTGCATGATAGAAGCGGGCTGAACCACCCTGATGTGAAAATGCCACTCATGTCCTTCTCTTGTTCTGTAGGACATATTTCAGTGCCCTAAGGATTTTTTTTTTGACAAAATAATAACTCGGCTGCTAAAAAAAAGTAAAATACATTTAACTTAATCTCATGTTAATGCTTGTGGGTTAACCACTGATGTTAAAGCAACTTTAAATAGGAACTCTTGGCAATTTGCAAACATTTTAAAGCCATTCTGTTTTGATGTTTTGATCTGAGAGCAGTTGGTCATACCTCACACTGGTTGACTGTGACTCAACTCGACTTGTACAACTGTACTGCAGAGCAGCTCTACCAGTTCTGCTCTCACTACAGGTTACAGTGCTCTCCAGCTGGAAGGACTCTAATTGCCCAAACAAACAGGAGGGGTCTGTGTGTACCGGTCACTCTTGAATACAACATAAACAGACAGAAATGTGCCTTTTGGCTTCTACATTTGCCATGTGCCCCCTCAAGTTGAATAAGCACAATGCCTCTGAGTGTATGACATAAATGTTATGGGGGGAAAAGTGAAGATGGCACTGTGGAGGGCAGCCTCAGTTAAGAGCTCTCTAGTGTGTTTGTTGTTTTCCCTTATGGTGACAGGATCCTACACAACCAGGCCAGAAACACACTGACAAAAGAGATCAGGGTAGCAAAGAGAAGCTACTCTGAAAAAACTGTTTTCAGCCAGCGACCCTGATACTTTATGGAGAACATCACCGGCTACAGGACACCATCCCCCCTGCTATGGAGTGCTGTCAACTGGGTGATGATGTGAATGTGTTCTAATGTAAGTTTGAGAGGCAGCCACTAGCCCCTTATATACTGCCTTCTCAAGAAGGGATTGGTGTGCCTCTATTCTGTCTCGTTTTCTCTGTCTATGTCATTAAGATTTTTGAGAGACTAGTGTTGGCCCACCTGAAGGACATCGTAGACCCCCTGCTGGACCCCGTGAATGGCGCAACAATTCAAATTAATTTTATTTGTATATAGTGCCAGAACACAACAAAAATCTTCTCGGGGCACCTTACATAGTTTAGACTATACCTTGCTGTTGTTATTATTAATATAGAGGAAAACCCAACAATCCTCCTTGAGCAGCACTTGGCGAGAGCGGGGAGAAAAAACTCCCTTTAACGGAGCAAACCTCCGACAGACCCCGGCTCTTGGTGGGCAGCCTTCTGCCTCAGCTGGTTGGGGTGAGTGGATAGAGGAGAGAGGAAAAAAAAGAACCCTTTATGCTAAAGCAATGATATACAAGGATAGTTTCTTTCCCTGGGCCATCACTCTGATGTTAATCCATGCTGTATTGAGCACACAGCAATCACCACAGTGCAATAAACTGTAAATATAACCATTGTATGTCTGAAAGCTTTCCTGCTTAATGTGTACTGTGTGTGTGTGTATAAATTCTCTTTCTGCTGTTCTTTCTCCTGTTTATCCTGCTGATTGTACTTTTTTGAGTGCACAGTTTTTCTTATTTGAATACACAAAGTTTAATTTTATTTTAGTTTTTTTATTTATTGTTGACTTACAAAGCAAATTGAGAGTCTGTACGGGAGTCGGATTCCTTGTAAATCTAATCATGCTCGGACAGTAAGGATTCAGATTCTAAATGTTTGATTAAATACTGTCACTGCATACGCTGATAAGGAAATGAATAAGTAGAATTTGTCTTATTTTGATAGTAACTAGAGATGCAAACAAGTTTTACTTCAGCATTCTTCTTTAAACAGAAAACGGTCCTGAAATACAGAATATTTAAAAAAAATGTTACATAGTTATTATCTGTGATCTTAAATTTGTTGTTCAGTACAATTAGTAAGAGCAATGCTGTGAGTATTGACAATCTCATACATTCATTCATTCATTTTCTGCCGCTTAATCCCTGAACAGGGTCACGGGGTGGGGCCGGAGCCAATCGGGCAAAGGCGGGGTACACCCTGGACAGGTCGCCAATCCATCGCAGGGCGAACACATAGACGAACAACCAGACACACACACATGCACTCCTATGGGCAATTTAGAGACACCAATCAACCTAAGCTGCATGTCTTTGGACTGTGGGAGGAAGCCGGAGTACCCGGAGAGAACCCACGCAAGCACGGGGAGAACATGCAAACTCCACACAGAAAGGTCCCAGGTGGGGCCCGAACCCAGAACCTTCGCGCTGTGAGGCAACGGCGCTAACCACTGTGCCACTGTGCTGCCCAGTCTCATACATAGGTGCATTTAATAACGGATCATTTTATTAACTCAGCAATTTGACAGTAAAACATCATATTGACTTTAGGTGATATCGCCTGCCTCTAGTAGAGGAGGGGTTCAACACTGAAACACGAAGTGCATCTACTGTTGTTGAACTGCTGAACAAACAGGTTTCACTGAGACCAAAAAGTGATTGACGCTGTGATAGTCTCGATTTAGTGGCATCTGCCGATTTATCTCCCAATTCAGATCTGACTTCAACACAAACATGAATAACATTTGTTGCTGTTTTGTGCCGTTCTTATATAACCAGATTGTTTTCAGTCAGACTGAGATGGACGCTTTACTCATGATAATGTGGTCTTGTTTGTGTGAGCAGTGAGGAGCTGGACATTGACCTGAAAGACATCTATTACAAGATTCGGTGTGTACTGATGCCAGTGCCATCGCTGGGGTACAACCGGCAGGTGGTCAGAGACAACCCGGACTTCTGGGGCCCTCTGGCCGTGGTGCTGCTCTTCTCCATGATCTCCATCTATGGACAGTTCAGGGTGAGTAGGAAATAATAAACAACACTGCATTCATGACTTGGACCATATTTTCCACACTGTTCCAGGATTGTTTTTTTCCACAGGAACATAACTGTTTGGATTTTCCTATAATCAGTTCAGTTCAATTTATTTATATAATGCCAATTCACAACAACAGTTGTCTCAGGGCACTTTATAAAAACAGGTCTAGACCTGAAACTACTATAAGGAAAAACCCAACAAATTCCCCTTGAGCAGCGCTTGGAGACAGTGGGGACACAACAGGTAGTTATGGTGCCATGAAGTATCAAAAAGACACAACAAAACATGCCAAGTACCTTTCTAACCTCATCACTGTCCTACTAGGATTATAATACTATACAGTATCCATAATATGCATATACACAGTACACATACATACGGTACATAAACATGTGCAACACTACAATAAAATATAAAATAAGTATTATATATATATAAAAATAAAAAAAAATTCCCCACTCACCCCACTTTGGAGTGGTCTTGTATGCCTTCCTTCAAGCTCGGGTCCTCTACCAGAGGCCTGGGAGCTTGAAGGTCCTACCCAGTATCTTAACTGTTCCTAGGACTGCACTCTTCTGGACAGAGATCTCAGATGTTGCTCCTGGGATCTGTTGGAGCCACTCTCCCAGTTTGGGGGTCAAGATCTTGTTCCTGGGATCTGTTGGAGCCACTCTCCCAGTTTGGGAGTCACAGCCCCCAATGTCCCTATTACCACGGGGACCACTTGTGCCTTCACCTTCCACATTTTTTCTAGCTCTTCTTTCAGCCCTTGGTATTTATCAATCTTCTTGTGTTCCTTCTTCCTGATGTTGCTATCACTTGGGACATAACAGCGGGGTGCAAGATGCACTGACGACGGCCGCCTACTTCTGTTTGTCCACCACTACTATGTCTGGTTGGTTGGCCATTACCAGTTGGTCAGTTTATATCTTGAAGTCCCACAGGATTTTAGCTTGGTCATTCTCAACCACCTTTGGAGGTGTATCCCATTTTGACTTTGGGACTTCCAGC